AAGTTTTGAAGCAAGAGTAGGGCGAAATCCACAATCTAAAATTGACGAATGATTCTCACGATGCCTGAAAGGATCAATGAACTCCACGAAGCGAAAGGAAGATCTACTAGATATTAATTAAATTATAATCTATCAATTCATGTGAATATGACTGACAAATTTCATTTTTTACTGAAAAGGTGGTGTCTATTTACTTGTGACCATGCTGTCCATTCCTTCAACAAAACATCAGGCCCATGAACTATTGTTAGTCAGGCCAGAAATTATACTGTTCTAACTGTAAATGTAGTCTTTAATTAGGCGTTATATCACCCGCTATAGAAAATTAAGTAATTTCCCAATGACAAAAACATTACATAACATTTTACTTTTCTTGATAGAATTATTTAATTTTTTTCCATTAAATGATACTTTAAAAATCAATTCCTAGAATTCACTAGCTACTACTGAACAGTATAAGTTTTATTGAAAAGACATGTTTGTTTCACTTATATTCAGTGATTGGGCAAATATACTCATTTACTTACTAACGTAGGAGAAATTTGTTCTTATTTAAATGATGAATGTAGTTTGATATATAATGTTCTTTAGCACCAAACCTTATCAGAATCCATTCAAAGCAAACTGGTAACAAAATTTTGGTCTGAAATTAAATAAACACTTTACTGGTACGCAATCATTTGTATTCGTTAATATTATGTTTTTTACACTGTTGTTAACAAAATATATATTTTATAAATTAGTTTCGTCATAAAACAGTTATTATGTTAGAACACTAATTTTTGGAAATACCAACAGTCATAATATGTTCTATGTAGAATTGGTGTAATAATTAAAAGTATACATTTTGTTTGTTTTTCATTGTAAAACATCTTGTTATCAATGATGAAAAGCGGGTATGCATAGATTATGATAAACGGTTTTATAATGAACGTAATGTTGCGAATCTGCTCGTTTGATAATTTCCGGTAGAACTTATTTCCGAGGAACTTCAGTGATACAAGTTTTTTCTTAATTAAAACTAGTTTATTCTTTCTTCATACAACTTTGTTCATACACAGAATTTCCACAGTTACTTTAGATTTAACAACCTTTATACACACGCTATAAATCACAGTGATTCACACACTTTACTTACGGTGCCTACTATTCGCCTGACTCAATTATCTGTCTCTTAAATCTATCTATATCTCTTCAATAGCGCTGGTTTTTCTCGCCAGGCTTATATACTAAAAAGAGGGCGCCTCGAACAAACTAGAGTAGCCAGGAAAATTCATGATCCTTCGAGAAACTACAGCGCGCATGCTCCCAGCGTCGCATGACTTCTGCTGTCGTAATAGTAAGCTCGCCGGCGTCTCAGCTGTAAGTCTGAAGGCTTATAACGCTAAAAACAAGATTTCGATAATCGTAATAGGCCATTGTGTAGCTTTGCGCTCAAGGATAAAACAAACAAACAAAATAATAAACGCAATGTCTATATAAATATAATAGTACTGTCTGTTGTATGTCCATGTAACTACTTCTCATGGTTTGGATGAATCTTCACCAAAGTTGGTATGGAGGTTCAGTAGGTCCATGAGGGGGCATATACAAATTTTCAGTTTTGCATTTTGCGGTTTTTATTAACATTTTTGCGTTTTTTACCACTACCTCTCCTCCTGTGGATGGATCTTTACCATAGCTGGTATGGAGGTTCACTGAGTCTATGGGGATATTCAAATTTTTGGATTTGCATTTTGCGTTTTGCAGATGTTATGGGTGTTTTGTGTTAATTACAATTACAAGGGAAGCAACTTTTTATGTCCTAAGATAACCTTTCATTAATCATGAATTTACATAACTTCTGTCCAGGGGACAAGTACTCCAGCTAGTACATATATAAGTATATATATTCGTATCTTATTGGTGTTTTGGTTATATATATATCTTATCAGCCTTTAGTAACTGGTGTTAACCTATAATTTGACTTAAGGTCGAAGATAATGTACGTTATATTTGATTTTACACTAGCGTTCCTTCAAAGCAGATAAAAAAGTGGCTTGGGGGAACATTAAAATACCAGAACCTGTGTTAAATGGAGGAAATTTGGAGTGTTGGTTTCCTCTTAAAGGACAGCATGGAGATAAGGAAGAGGGATTAATTAACCTTGCATTTTCTCGTTCAGTAAGTTTCACATTTTTTATACTGATTTTATCAGATTAATTGATGAAATACTTAGCTGATGTTCATAATCAACTCCTTATTCCTCATTCGAAATAACATCAACTGTAATATTAACGTTCTACTTAAAAAATTACCATAACATCATCTGTAATACTAACGTTGTACGTATAAATGCATCATAACATCAGCTGTAATACTAACGTTGTGCTTAGAAATGTACCGTAAGATAACGTGCTTTCAAGATAGATTGACTTTTGACCCATTATTTTGTTTTAATTATTTTACACAATTTGTGATTACACTAATAAGAATATTATAGGTAAAAGCAAACTTCATGATCAGCGTGATGTTGAGAATAAATGTTTTATGACTGTATTATGATCTATTGACTTTTTTATTTTTGTTCACCAAATGTGTTTAAATCTACAAGATACCTTAAGAATTATTGGGGTTGTTAACAACATCTAGAATGATGGAAAAAGCATAGTAGGAATTAATGTTACATTTTTTCCATTAAGAGTAGCAAGTGTGTTAAAAAATCACATGACTTGGTGTTACATTCTTTCATTAAGAGTAGCAAGTGTGTTAAAAAATCACATGACTTGGTGTTACATTCTTTCATTAAGAGTAGCAAGTGTGTTAAAAAATCACATGACTTGGTGTTACATTCTTTCATTAAGAGTAGTAAGTGTGTTGAAAAATCACATGACTTGGTGTTACATTCTTTCATTAAGAGTAGTAAGTGTGTTGAAAAATCACATGACTTGGTGTTACATTCTTTCATTAAGAGTAGTAAGTGTGTTGAAAAATCACAATATGACTTATGTTTTATATTCCCTGTTAGTGTAATAAATGTAATGAAACATCACATTTTTGTTATTTAAGGTTTCAATTTAACATTATAAAGATATTCAAATATAGATATCGGTATACTCAATCTACATTACTGAATGAAAACATACAAATAGTATAGCAACAGGCAGAGCCAAATACCTTAAAAATTATTTAAATCCACTTTTTTCACATGAAACAAATACCTGATACATCAAGTATTCCACGAAACAATATCATACTTATTACTGTAAGTACCTTAAAACTTTATTAAAATAAAATCTTATAATAATATATATATACAACTAAAATGTATAAATCATAGATAAAAGTGTAAGATTTCAAAATTTATATATGTTATTTAATCACATTTTCAAGACTCCTCTGCTTGCCCCAGTTCTACCCATATGTCCACCAGTTATGGCTACAACACAATATTATCCACTTGTGATGTCATACTCACACGTTGGGCCAGGTAAATCTGTAACTTAGTCGCATTCTTTTTTTCTGGTCAGGTAAATACTATCTTTTTACAACCCACAACCCTAATGAGCCACATACATTTAAAATGTAACAAGGGATTAGCAACTTACTGTTTTCAGTGTAAAAATACTAGTTATAGTAAGTTATTCTAGTTGCTAAGTTCTGATTGCGATCTAAACTTTGCATTAAGGTGCATCTAAGTTTACTTTTCAGTTTACTAATATCCTAAATCTAATTCTTTAAGGTACTGTCTTTGCGTGCTTGCTTAATTTTATTGAATAGTTAATAATTATATATATATATATATATATATATACAGGATATATAGGATGAAAAATACTAAATCATCTCTTCATTTTAAGTACTTTTGTGCTCTCGGAACATTTATTTAATTATTCTTGATTTTGTTTTATAAATAACCAAATCATAAGAATTTTACTATGCGTAGAAAACGGGAGAAAACCAAAGAATATTGAACAAGCTCCCAAAACACAACCCAGATAATGAGACAAAATCCATATAAAAACCTGTACTAGAAGTTAACTATTTTCTAAACAAACTCTACAATAATGAATACTACACAATTAATTGTGATTTTTTTGTGTTTTTTTATATATTTGTGAAACTGTTAAACATCTAACAATATTTAACGAAAACTTAAAAAACATCTCATATAAATGAGCACATAACAAGCTAACTTTATAACTAATTAGATAAACGTTTATTTGGTAATGAACAAGACGTATACAAAAGAGAAATTAAGAAAGCATTAATAAAAGAAATAAACAAACCTAACGTAAGTATTTATAAAAGATGTCTCCTTTACCAGAGCCGTAAATAAAGAGCGCTTGGTCAACCTGGTTTCAATGGAGTAAGACTGTGATTGGGTAGAACGCGCTCACATGGCAGCAAGGCGCTATGTTGTTACCCATTTGAGCAAACGCCATAAGCTCATTTGTAATTCATGTGTAATTCCCGTTAAAAAAAATGCCTAGCTGTTCAGCTTGGAGCTCTTCAAACCGATCTAGCTGCGGAAAGACGATGCATAGGTTCCCTAGAGATCCAGAACGGAGACAAAAACGGGAAATAAAAGTTCGTTGTGAATACTAGAAAGCAAACGATAACTCATTTGTGTGTTCCGTGAGTAGACGCAACTTTTTCTTTGTTATTATTCGTCTTTTTGAAACTTCATAACACATACTTTTCCTCTAATCTTCCATCAAACTTTGGCAGTCTGCAAAACTTGGGCTATTAGATGCATCACTGTTAACTTGACCAGGGTTATCCAGAGCCTGGGTTAAAAGTCTACAATGTATTAGCAAAAACGTGATAGTAATTAGCAAATAGTCTGCAAGACTGCATATAACAGATTACTATAACTATTACTATTACTGCATCGCTGAAGTGAAAAAAGGAAGACTTTGTGCTCAACATGTTCAGAAGCTGTTCAGAAACAAGGGCAATCACTGAGTAGAGGCAGCCTTCAGAAACTCACACAACTGAAAAAAATACAAGGAAGGCAATCTTATCCACTGTTCTACAGAATGTATGAAAATGTCCAATCACATGGAGTTCTTCTTTGGAGAAGTTCAAGACACGCTAGATAGTGGCAAGAACTTCATGGCAAAACCTGTCAAGCAGGCAGAGATACCCAGAATAGCAATCTACTCTCTTGCCATAGTATCATTATACATAAAAGGCACTCTCTGTTCGCAACAGTTTCTTTCTCGGTAACACTCCACTCTCTGTTGGTAACGCTCCATTTGTTTGTAAAGTTCGAAATGACTCAGTGGTTAGTCTTAACACGTTAAAATCTCAGTGGAGTTCAGATTTTTTGTAACTTTTTTTTCATTTTTACCTTATAATATTTAGAACAGGATAATACAATATTAGGAAAAAGAACAGAATAACGTGATAGTTTAAATTAGTGATATAAATTATTTATCATTTGATTACAGAAACTGGGTTTCACAGTGGTTATATAGCTTGCCTATCATGTGGAAATCTTACGTTTAAATCTCACTTGAGTTAGGATTTTAGTTTAATTATTTTTAATATTTGTTATTATATTTACAGTAGTTTCTTTGAATATTCGGAAAATTATAAATACTATTATACATTAAATAAGGGATCATTTCATATAAAAACCGGCGCTTGTCTGTGTCAAATACAACTTAAATATATTTTCACCCTATAGATGACAATACAATACATTATTATTGATGTTTTTTACATTCAGTAAGAGATTTTTTTAAATTTAGTGAAATTTATAAGCATTTTTTTAAAGAAAAGTTATATTTTCGTGCATTTTCCGTTCATCATTATTTTTTTTCATTTGTTATCATAATTAATAAATCGTAGGTTTAGATATTTGACCATCTATATAAATAATATGCTTGCATTTGTCTGTCTGGAACTTTTCTCGCAAATTTCTCGATCGTCATCACTTGACGACTGGCTTCCATTTCAACTTTAGTTTTTTTTTTATTTGTAAACTATTTCACATAAGCAACATTTAACCGCATGTAATTTCCTAAAAATAAACATCACACTAAAAACAATTTCTATGGGCTTTATCCACTTATTTTGGTCTAAAATATACATTGTTCATTCAAAACCATATGCTTATCACTTTGTATACACACATTCAGACATTTCTGCATATTCAGCTAAGTTTGCCTTCATTGTTCATTCAAAACCATATGCTTATCACTTTGTATACACACATTCAGACATTTCTGCATATTCAGCTAAGTTTGCCTTCATTACAACTTTACATGTATTTTACTTTGCAGTAACTTAGCTGCGGTTCCTTTCATAGACTGCTATAAACACTTTTGAGCTTTTTTTTAATACAGGTTTTATTCTTCGTTTTTTTGTAAGTTTCCTGGTTTCAACTCGTTAAACCATGTCATACACTGAACGTTCATAACTGTTTCATACTCTGTACACTATTATAAATATCATTACTTTACTTTATTATTATTTAGTTTATGTGCAATTTTAATAAATAAAGTTTCGCAAGTGTAGTTCCATTAAATAAAGTTACGCCTATATGAGTTTGTTTCTTTCGTATTTTTTTCAAATATACCATGATTTACCGATCAAACACATAATGCGTGCAAGAAAGCGTAGCTTAAATGGCGTGTGTGAAACTGACAGAATAAGAAACATTCAAGTGAAGAACATGTAGGAGTATTTCTTCTATAACCAGTTTTATTGCATGGTTCAATTTGTAAGGCTTTATCAGAAAACAAATTGAAAATAACATAGAAATGTACATAAGTCAAAATTCTAATTAAGGACCACTTACAGGAGATGAACAAATATACACAAAAATCTTGTTTTCGTGAAATGCTAGAAAAATTATAACCATTATTGATACATATTGTTTCGTCTCCGTTTGTTAATTAATTTTCCGTAACTTCGTTCCGACGAAACTTTAGCGACACAAGTCCTTACTTAATAAAACTGGTTTATTGTTTCTGAATATAACTTTACGATACACTTATTTTCAACAATCGCGCTAAAGCAAACGCTATATCAACGAACGTCAACAATACTTCTGACTGCAGTTGAATTACTCACTGTCTACACACACACATTATTATTTTCGTCACGTTGTCACCCTCTTATATACCAGACTACCCTATATCTAGTAAATGCTAGAGCATTCGCCAAGGTACAGGATAGTTCTAGAAAGCAGAGGGCGTGAGAATAGTCACGTGATCTCGCGGACGCAACAATATACTAGCGAAAGTTCCTGGTTTCGCTCTGGTTATTAGGTTGGTAGTGTGTGTGTATTCTGAACCCATTTTAGCATAAAAGTATAACTTATATTCTTTTGTTGCTAAGCAGCATGACATAAAAAAACCATTGTTGGAACGCATTGTTACCAAAACGCACTGGCTTTTCTATATATTAGAAGTTGTAATATAAGGAACCACTTCTTTTCCATGTGGTGTTTCGCTAGCTTGCCTCAGTAAAAACATACATGCGCGCATGCACTCACGTGTATGTCTGTCTGTCTCATTAAAAAGATGCGCACGTGGATAAGATAAGTAATAATACCCAGGTGCACACCCTCTTTCTGCAGGTGTCTGATAAAACTGTTTGCTGTTGTAATAAATCGGTCATTGTGTCCATAGAACCTCTTTCATTATACAAACAGGTGAGAATACTCAATAACTGCGGCACTTGAAATTATTTTAGACAGGATTACAGTAAATTAAACTATAATACTTTTTTCCTTTTTATTAGCTATATTTTTGTGCGCCAAGAATACCAAGAGTGGAGCGCACATAT